ATCTACCAGTGGGCCGTTGTCTGCGCGTATGTTGCGTTACCTGGGATTTTCATTACCCGGGTATCAGTCATCGCCTGGATCAGCATGATCTCGGTGTTTGCACTCCTCAGCAGTATTGCCACAATAATAATTTACTGCATCACTGAATACCGTGACATGACCCTCTCAAACATCCCCCCATTTGACATTCAGAAGTTTCCTATTGGATTTGGAATCATCGTGTTCAGCTACTGTGCTCACGCAGTGTTTCCTGGTGTGGAAGGTAGCATGAGGGAACCAAAACAATTCCCAATGATGATGAATTCTGCGTTTGCTCTTGCTGCAGTGGTCAAGGTTCTACTTGGTTTGTTGGCTGTTCTGCGATTCGGCGCTGATACTGAACAAGTCATCACTGTCAACATGGGCATCAGCCCCATCTTCAACATGGTTGCCACAGTCCTGGTCGTCACAAATGTCTTCCTGGCCTTCCCTATCTGCATGTTTGTTGTCTTAGAAACATGGGACACCAAGGTGCTACCTTTTTTCCCACATCTTAGCAAGGAAAGTGGCTACCATTGGTTCTGGATCCTGATCACACGGGTCATGCTTCTAACTTTTGCCTTGTTCCTTGCAGTTATTGTTCCGCACTTTGCCCTGTTGATGGGTCTTGTTGGCAGCTTCACTGGTACATGCCTTTCCTTTGTGTTTCCCTGCGTTTTTCATCTGACCTTGAAGTGGAGGAAAACTCCTTGGTACAGCATTGTGGTCAAGATTGGGGTGATCGTATTTGGCTTAGTATGTGGTGCATCTGGTTTGTTCTTCTCAGGAAGAGAGCTTGGAAGAGCATTCTCTTTCCAGAACTAACATTACAGGACACGTCTTAGAATCCGATACTGATGAACTATGTCAATATGGACAATTTTTGTAATGGAACTGCTTTTGTAAGAATTACACTGTACATGATTGTGAGCATGTTTTGTATCAGTATGAGAAGAAGTGGTTAAAAAGATTTGCAAAAAAGAATTGCTGTAATAGAGTTTCAGTGCATCACATTTTATGCATTGCATTTTATACCGCAATTTAAATTCAATGGAGTTTGTATTTTGTAATATACATCACACAGTTGTTGGTTATAATTATATATATCAAGGACCATTTTTCATTCACATCACCTCACCTATCCTCTTTGTGCCTCATGGCGCATAAGGCCCTCTCAGAGTCCCTCCACTTATCTCAGTTAACTGCAACGGTCTTCCCTTCCTCCCACGATTGCCATCCTGCTTCTGCCCTTTCCTTTTCAACTGTTCTCTTCCAGGTGGTTTTTGGTCTGCGTCCTCTTCTTTTTTCTTCTGGTGCCCAAGTTATTGCTATGTTGCAGTTGTTGTTTTGGTCCTGTCTCAGTATATGTTTATTCATCCTCCATCTATGCCGCTTCACCTCTTTACTTATAGGTTTCATGTCTGCTCTGTGTAGCAGCTCTTCAGTACTGACATTTTTCATGGGGGCAGATGTTGGGACTGGTGGGATTTGATAGATGGTTCCTTTAATATATAAATTAGGAATTTTTTTACCAGGCCCCTTTTGTAGTCGTAATTACAGTGTATTTGCAGGGATATCTCGACTTTGTTTTTGGAATGGATGAGAAAATAAAACTTATGAAGCTGTATTTGATAGGATTTCAACAAACATTTAAGTTTGGACTAAGTCCTGTTGGGGAATGAAATATCTTTAAACCATGGTCCCTCATGATTTGATGTGAAAAGAGACGATTATGACAGAAGCATTAGATAAAATAGTAAAAATGTTTACTTGCGCTGGTATTTTTTTCTCTTTGCTCTCAATGACTGTTAGGTGTTATAAATTTTTAGATTAAATAAGACAAATAGTCAAAGAAGGTTAACAGCCAAGTGCCCATGGTCTTTCCTACAATGAAGCTTTAAAGTGATTGACATTTCTAAAGTCCTAATATCAACATGCAGATTCTCTCCACTGTCTCTGTATGTGTTGCTAAATAATGTTGTGTTTGGTCAGCGTAGATTAGCCTGTTCACAGACCCTCTATATTCTCTTCAAAGTCCCTCGAACGCAGGTGATAAAATATAAACCGCACGGGATTTATTGACTGCCAGCGCAAGGGGGTAGTGGAGGGGGGAAAATAAAACAATGTCCGTGTACAGACTAAGTGCAGATCAAAGGTCACACCTCCCCAGGGGCCCAGAGGCAGTTAGTCAGTTTAAGGGAAAAAGCGCAAACCAACTGACTGCTCCTGGGTCTCAAAAGTCAGAGGACGGAGATCACATGGAGTAGTAGAGTTATGTTTTATCTTGATTCTAGTTTAGCTCACATTACATGGCTGTACAGCAGGGTGAATGTCACCAGTGGTAGTTTCATGCAATTTTTTAGCCTGAGTAGCCAACATTTCCGTGTGGTTTTGGAGCAAAGAAAGACCAAGGAATGATGGGGAGTGGGATTTTCTCTTTCAGCCACGTGAAAAATGGGAGGAGAGCCATTTTTTGCTGTGGGGAAGGGGGTAGGGGGGTTGACTCTCATTCCTTGTTCTTTGCTCCGAAACCACATGGAAACGCTTGCTACGCAGGCTAGCAATTGTGCTCAGTTTTGTTGAATGGTGTCAACACTGCTTGTCTGGGTAGGGATGATTGTTGCCCAAAGGTGACATGGTTGGAAGCTTTTGGAATAATTAGGTCATAAAATTTTAGGTCCTGAGCTAATTTTATTTTATTCTAAAAAAAAAACAAAATTTTCTTGAGCCCATGGTTGATTTTGTTCAGTGGTCAATACTTTTCAAATTGAAGTGGTTAGTACTGGTTCTCTAAGCAATTATTATAGGGTGCGATCATGGTGAAATGAATAAGTGATCACAGATGCAGAATTTTTTGGTAAATGATCACAACAAAAAGCACCATGTGAAAACCTTCCCTCCCCTTTGGGACCCTTTTGGAGAGCATGTTTTTGTGAAGAGCCCTTCAATTATATTGCTTCATGCGAACTAACCATAAAGGGGTGGAGGGGCGGTCCTCCAGACCCTTACATAAGAAGGGGGCTGGTCTCCCAAAAATTTAGTTCTTGGCCCTTCCAGCCACATTTCGCTACAAAAATTAGGGCCCGGGCCCCTCTCCTGGATCCACCACTGTCTATTCCCTGTGAAAGGTCACATTCATTAATGAAAAGAAAAAGTCCAAAGAAATTGAGCATTTTAAGAAGCTTGCATTCAGTTAGTGATCCTCTCCTCCTTGTTTTCCAAATTTATTACATTTTTACAACTTGATAACATGAGCGTGACATTCAGTGCAGTGTTGCGTTACGACGACAACGGAAAGATCCCGGGGGAAAGATACAGTCAACAACCAGGGGAGTCCAATCTTCCTTCAGTGGACAACCTCGGCAGAAATGAAGCTGGCCGTTTACGGCAAAGGTTTTTGTCAGCGTGGAGTTCAAACGGGATTTGGTTCGGCGGCCGAGGGTTTGACTTTTGAGAAAGGTAAACAGGGCACTTGAACGACGAATGTGTAAATAATATAAGAAGTTTTCTGATTGGTTTATTTCCTTTGTATCCATTGTCTCATGGGACAACAAAAACGTGCAAAACGACAAAACCAGTTATGTTGTACTTTGCGTACAAATAAACATTTGCATTTGAACATCCGAATCTCGGAGTGCATATTGACATTTGACCACAATTTCAAAGTTCTGTTTGTTAAAAACCGCACGTGGCAAAACACAAAAAACACTATGGCCGAAAACAACGCTTTGCTCAGTACGCCAAAGAAGCCCAAGACCCTAAGCCCTGGAAGCGGCGAAAATATTCCATTAGGATCGAGGCCAGAGTCGAATCCAACTGTTGTTCATTTGGGAGAGAATGCGCCACTGATTCATGGCGAGTCCGAGGCAGCAAAAAGCCTTCTTGGGATCAGTCTCTCAAGATTGAATTTATCCCGGAGTTTGATGAAATTACGTTCTGCTACAATGACTGTGTCACTGATCGAGAGACCCTCAGATGATAGGCGAGCCAATGCGTTTCTCGCGGGATGGAACGTCACTAATCTGATCCAAGGAACCGGGATATTGGGAATTCCGTACGCTGTAAAGCTCGGAGGGTGGGCTGCAGTCGTTTCTATCTTTGTTTGCGGCATTCTCTGTTGTTACACGGGAAAGCTATTGGTCGATTGCCTCTACGAGGAGTCCAAGCGCACCGGGCTACGGAAAAGGGTCAGGGTCAATTACCCGGATGTTGGGGAAGCCGTCTGGCCAAGATGGGGCAACAGGATTGTGAGTGCGGTACAAGTGTGTGAGATGTCTGGGATAGCTGTCACTTACATTGTGTTACTGGCATCTATCTTCCTGGACTTCTTCCACAGCATGACTTCCATGGATGTCTACAAGTGGACTGTAGTGGTGGCATGTTTTGTTCTTCCTGGAATTTTCATCACGCGTGTATCAATCATTGCCTGGATCAGCATGATCTCAGTTTTCTCACTTTTCTCTGCAGTGCTCACAATCATAATATACTGCATCACCCAGTATGATAAGATGAGGCTTGACAATATGCCTGGTTTTCAGTTGAACTCTTTTCTGATTGGCTTCGGCATCATTGTGTTTAGTTTTACTGCACATGCTGTTTTTCCAGGAGTCGAAGGAAGCATGCGTCATCCAGAACAGTACCCCATGATGTTGAACATTGCATTTGCAAATTCCACCATAACCAAGATTATCCTGGGGATGATGGGAACATTTCGATATGGAAGTGAACTAAACCAGGCCATTACCATCAATCTCAAAAGCAGTCAAGTATTTTACATCTTGTCAAACACCTTTGTTGTTGCCAATGTTGTCCTTGCTTTCCCATTGGTCATGTTTGTTGTCTTGGAAACGTGGGATGACAAAATGCTTCCCTACTTTCCACATGTGGGAAAAGAATCAAGTTTTCATTGGTTCTGGCTGCTTCTGACACGCCCACTCCTCTTTACCTTTGGCGTATTTTTGGCTATCTCTGTTCCTCATTTTGGCCTGGTCATGGGACTACTTGGAAGTCTGACTGGTACCAGTTTGTGTTTCATATTTCCATGCCTTTTCCATCTGAAATTGAAGTGGAAGAAACTGGCGTGGTATCAGGTGGTGTGCAGGGTTCTTATTGCCATCTTTGGATTTGGCTGTGGAATCCTTGGAGCAGCATTTACTGGCATTGAACTGGTTAATGTAAGTAAATAGGATATTGATAGTTAATGATAGCTTTGCCTTGAAGTATGTCAACAGTCAGTAACTAACAATAAAAAAACTGTCAGTCCTTTTTAAAAACAGAATGGCTGATTGTTATATAGTATAAATTACTACTACTGTCTACCCTGCAAGATAGTAGAGGCTACATTTTGGTTTTGGTGACTGGATGCAAAAAGTAGCCTTTGCCAACACCAATCATTCCCATCTAAAATATAGCTAATCTATTTTGTGGCCGGAACACAAAAGATTATTTTTCGTTGAGGGTAGTTGACTATCAGTTGTCACTATCTGTGCAAAGATTGTCTCCAAACGAAAAAGACAAATGCTTGCTCTTAGAAAGTGCAAAAACAGTGGCAACACTATCAACCTCAATATGAAAGATTACGTGAGAGGATAACCTCTATCTTTTTGTTATTATATTTAATATCTTTTATATAATGTTATGTAAACTGTGTAAGTGTGTTCTGGTGTACAGGTCACTACTCCCTGTTGACAACTGGCTTGAGATCTGTTTGAAAATTATGTCATTTATAGAAACACAGCACAGTTTTTGTTTGATCTGCTGTAATGTCATCGTGCCCAAGCATTCTGTAAGATGCATACACTTGTGTAGTTTTCAGTAAATTGTTGATTTCCATCTCATTGAATGAAATAGAATGAAAAACCTTTGGTTCATTTCTTGCAGAAAAACTCCAATCTTCAGCATGATAAATAATCATAATTTTTATTATCACAAATATTTATTATCACAACAATTATTATTTTTATTATCATTATTAATATTATCACAATAATTATTATTGTGTTCATATCAGCAAAAAGGATACTGGACTGAGCACTTGCAAGACAAAACGTGCTCCTTTTCCTCTAGATTCACATGATGGAGCTTTTGCATGTGTAATACAAAAGGGGACCATTGTAGGTAGAGGTTGCTCTTTACATGCCAATAAAAATTGCAAAAAAAGTCACCTCTGCTCACTGGGTGTCATAAGTCATACTCAGTTGGACTCATCCAGATTGCATACTTTGGTAATACATTAAAAAACAGCTCTCTGATTTTGCGCTGCTTTCCATTATCTGCACGCCTGGAGAAGGCTAGGTTTAGAAGTACTGTCCAACCTCCTAAACTGGGACACCAATAGGGCATAGCCATGTGTCTGCATAACAGTGGTGTTGTAGTACAGAGGTAGGGATAGTATAAGTTTGGCATCATTTGAATTAAGAGAAATGACCACATATAGAGGTGTCCATATTTTGAGGAAAGAATTGCATAAGTTTAGCATTGCTGTGACCAAAAGAATCGTCCACAGTAGAGCGGTGTCCATATTATGGAGAAAGGAATTCTATAGGCTTGGCATCCTTGGGACAAAGAGTAATGTCCACAATGGAGAAGTGTCTCCATTTTCAGTGGAAGGAATTGAGAAGAAGAGAAGGGTGATGTCACAAAAATGCAAATTTGTGAAATTATGGGATTGGCTGGCATATTCGGAAAGAGTATAGACTGCGAGCAGTCTGTCTTTTTCTTCAGATTTAGTAAGGGGAGTGCACGCGCGCGCGAGCGAGCGTTGAGCGGCGAAGCCGCGAGACGCGAGAAACGATGGCGCGTGCGTCTCCCGTCTCGAGCCTTCAGTCACGCGCGTGGTCATTTGCGTGTCTGGGGCGTTTTGCTCGACGGACCAAGAAAAAAGAGAGACTGCTCGTAGTCTAGAAAGAGTAAGACGCAATAAGCCCCCTTGCCAAAAATTAACCTGTTGAAGTATTTTGGTAGGGAGATAAAAGCACCGTTATGCTCTGATCACTCCATAATTGGCCTGGATCGTAATGTTTGTGATCCAGCCCAATTTTTAAAGGATTTACATGGAGATATCGGAGCATTACGGTGCTTTTATCTCCCTAACAAAATACTCTAACAAGTTGATTTTTGGCTTCTTTCATCTTACTCTTTCCGAATATGCCAACCAATCCCATAATTTAACAAATTTAGTTTTTGTGACATCATCGCTTCTATTCTCTGTTTTATAAGTTTGGCATCGTTGGAACCAAATGGAGAACTATCTACAGTAGAGGGGTGCTCTTCTGTGTAAGTGTCTGTACGTAAGGAGAGGTAGATACGGAGCTTACTTAGTGAGTGTTCTATGCTTGTTGGTGGAGAATGTATGTACATAAATAAGGAAATAAATTAAGATGCATTGTGTATAACTTTAACAATTTGTTTGGATGCACAGCTATAAGTACTGTAGATAAATAAATGTTTTCAACCGACCAGTAGTTTGATTCTTGTTCCGGGTTATGGACTCATGTGTAAGTGCAATAGATGACGTTTTGACAAACCCTAAACGATGCTTGAACAAAGTATTCTATTTGTGCAATAATAGTAGGAACACTGGAACACAATATTCGAAACAGAAAGTCAGACAAACACTCTAACAGCATTTTTCCTCCAGGTTTACTTCCTGTAGAGGCCTAATCTCTTACCCATATCCAGAGATTCCAGCCCTGGCAACTGAAAAAAGGGTCTACTAGGGGGGTCCAGGGGCATGTTCCGCCGGGAAAAAGTTTAAGGTATGTGCCTCTAAGATGCCATTTCTTGCATTTTGAGATCACAGTCATTGACTCAATGAAAAATAGTGGAGTTTTTAACAGGCAGTGGAAGCTAAGGCCGTTTGGTCCCTATCACATCGACAGTCTATCACATCAGTGCATCACCACGCCCAAAATTATCGCAGGCTCATGCTCGGATGTAGAAAGGGTGAAAAAATGGCTGAGAAACCACAGAAAAAAGGCGAAGAATCGTGCTAAAAAGTACTGGTTGATTACAAAGAAAATGTTATCTTTCTTTGGCTAGGAGGAGTTTCAATTAAGCGAAAACGAGAGGTTTCCGGCCAAAACGGGAGGGTCCTCTGCCTCCTTGTTTTTCACACAGCGGCGAGTGCGAAACGCGAATGACTAAGCGCAAAAGACCATGGGAAGGAGAAAGGAGCTCAGGGATCTCCATCCCGCAGGTAGATTCGTTCCCATGCAGGCCTGTAGGAGAGAATTTGAAAGTGAGAGGGCACGAAAAAAAATTAGCCCTGACAACCTTTTTTTTGAAAATAGAAAGGGGAATTGCCTTGTGTTATTAACTCAGTATTTTTGACGGTGAAGTGGCAGTCTTCTTTTTTTTAAATTTTCGCCCAAAAAGTGGGGGCATGGACCTACTCGGCCCCCCCTTAACTCCTATACTCTCGAATATTCCGAGCCTGTTTGCTCGTAGCCAGAGTATCAGACATTCATGGAGGGAAAAGAGGGAAACTAAAATCTCCTTTCCTTATACTCAGGCAGGAATAAATTACTACTCAGGCTAGTTTGCTCGAAGAGCAGCGAGTCTTTCGAAAGAGTCCAGCCTGTGCGTACAAGCCAGAAAGAAACCTCTCCGCTTGCTACGTAACTCTTCTAAGCCTTTCTGCTTCTGTCCCTAACTGCCAAAATAACCTCTCGGTAACGGCCAGTTTTTTTAAGCGACTGATGGAAAAGTAAAGAATGGTCACGAATTGATGCGTATGGCACGTTTTATATGACCAATCGCGGCAATCGTATTTGATGTATCTCTATTCATTATATATGATTGGATTACCATGATTATGGGACACAGTAAGCATGAACCTGGGACAAAAAAACATGTTGTACTCCCTAAAAAAAATTGTCATAGGACACCCCTCTTACAGCCACCTCTTTAAAACGGCCACTTTCTTCTGTCCCCAAGGAGGCCGCTGTGGAGAGGTTGACTGTGAATAACGCCATTGTGTTTGGTCCGTTTTTTCCCCTCTACTTGAACCAAAAAAAAAAGAAAAGAAATTTAACATTTTTTAGTAGTTTTGAAAACTGTTCTTTTGACTCTCACAGATCTATTTAGACCTTCCAATCCCTAAACCATGCAAATCTGGAGTGTTTGAAAAAATTCCCCAAAAACCTGGAGAGTGGGACTGCAACCCGGAGATTTCGAAACTATGTGTCAAATAAAACCAAAAAGGCAGATTATTTTTGTCCTGGTATTCTTTACCCTATTAGTGGGGGGCTTATATTTGGAGGGGCGATTTAATGGAGGGTTGTCTGTGTTATGAGTTTGGGGGGCTTTTACATGGAGGGACTTATTTTTGGAAATATTTTATGGTATATAGTCGCCAGATGCAAATTTTTAGTGGCCAGTTTGTATAATGTAAATTACACCGCTTATAGTATGGCACAGATTTGATTGTTTGAAAATGTTGCAGACAGAAGACGGTATCAATTGGGAGGTAAACTGGAATTGTTTATGTGATTTGGCACATTTTTTATAACGAAAGCAAAGCAAGATAAGATGAAATGTTTGTTTTAACTCTTTTAATTTAAATCTAAATCACAGAGAAATCAGGTCGCCAAAGTGGCTATTAAACCAGAACTTTTATTCACCAAGGAAAAGATGTTAGTTGCATTGGTAACCGTATTAGTCGCAATTTCCAGCCCTGCGCCACTGCCTTAGTGACTAACCTGTCTTGCAACAAGTGAGGTTGTTGTCAAGTTGCACCTTTTTGTTGTCTGTTTTACCATACCTTTAGTACAACACCAAAAAATGCCTAGGAAAGGTTAAAAAGATGTTCTATACAGTTAACATGGACAAGTATAGTTTTACTCTGCTTTTAAGCTAGTCCACTGTTACAATTTGTTTTTAATGACTGAACAAGTGTGTTTCTGATGTGATGAGTTGATGAATAGGCACATCACATTATCTATTCACAAAAGAAGTGTTTTAAGCATTTTAAACCAATTGCCACAGTTGACTACTCAATGCAGGCTTGATTCTATTAAATCACTAGCTAAAATGTACGAAATGATTCCACCAGTGCTTTACCTGAGTAAACCAGACCAAGTCCTCCAACAAGAAATCCAAGAACAATAAGAGCAATCTCACCTGTGATGTGATACCATCGCAGAAACCTCCACCGCAGCTTAAGATGTGCAATGCAAGGAAATGCAAATGATAGACACATTCCTGAAAAACTGCCAACAAATCCCATCAGAAGGCCGAAATGAGGTACTACAAGAGCAATGAAAAGTGCAAAGACTACAAGAAATACTCTTGTCAACAGCAGCCAGTACCAGTGATATTTTGTTCCTTTTGCTAAGTGTGGAAAGTAAGGGCCGATATTTTTGTCGAATGTCTCTTTAACTACAAAGAGTGGAAGAGGAAATGAAAAAAACACATTCATGGCCACCAACACCGTTGCTGCAGTGTTGAAGCCCACATTTTCAGCCATGTTGACTGTGAACACTTGATCTGTGAGAATGCCAAACGTGAGCACGGCGAATAGACCAAACAAAGTTTTCACAATGGCTGAGATGAAGAATGAAACATGCATCATTTTATTATAGTGTTTTGGTTCTTTCATGCTGCCTTCTATGCCAGGAAACACAGCATGAGCACAATAGCTGAATGTTACAATACCGAACCCAACTGGAAATGTGCTGATGTTAAAGGCAGGAATATTGTTCCATGACCACCGGTCATATCGCACAATGCAATATGCTATCATAACCATCAGTGCTGACATGAGGGAAAACACGGCCAGCATGCTCATCCAGGCGATAAGTGATAACCTTGAGATGAAGACACTTGGAAGCACTGCTAGAGAACAAATGATGGCCCATTCATTCAAGTTGAGTGACACATACTTCCCTGTTATTTGAGAGAACATAGTAGAGAGAAGAATGAGATACAGCACTGCCGCAGAGTACAGCTCTACTGTCTGTATGACGCTTATAACCTTGCCTCCTACTCCAGGCCATACAGCGTCTCCGACATCAGGGTACGACTCTCGCACTCTCTTCCTTAACTTGCTACGGGGTGATATTTCATATAAGCAATCAACCAGCAGTATACCGGTGAGGTCACAAAACATGGCCAGGATGAAGATACAAATGACAGCAGCCACGCCTCCCTCCCGCACAGCATATGGAACACCAAGGATACCCATGCCTTGAATTAGGTTCGTGACATTCCAGCCAGCTAGGAAAGCAGACGCCTGTCTGTCGTGACTCTCCTTTTCCACCAGGGACTTAGTGGCAACTGACACAGTGAAGGAACGGAACCGTTTAAAATTTGTATTCCACGCGGATTTTGGCGATATTGGCTCATCGGTGTCTGCCGTGCGCAGTAAAGGAGATCTTTCGGTCGATTCCAACGACCTTTTTTTGTCCACTACATGCAGAGGATAGCGTACGTCCTGATTTGTTTCATTGTCGCCACTCTTTCCGGACAAAGAGGTCGAAAGAGCAAACTGGATGTGTTCTTCGATGTCGCCTTCGTTCGCCATCATGGGAGTCTATAATCGCCGGGTGAATGTGTATAAAAGTTCCTTGATTCTTAAGAAACGCACAAAACCAAAATCACCAGTCGATAATAACCGGTTGGTTAAGTACAAGATTTATGTCGGTAAATAAAAATCGACATGTAGCGAAGTACAAGTAAGACTTAGAGGCACCTGTGCATTTGTGCATGTGTACACAAACCAGACCAAAGTTGGACAGGATAGTACTGTCACGTTCTTGTCACGCTATTGTCTACGTCGCAAATATCATTGGTTGAACTGTGTTGAAGATACCGCCTTATACTAAGACAGGTAAGTGATATTTAATCCCGGGGCAACTCTGATTTGACCTTCAGTTTTTTTTTTCAAAAAGTAAGGCCGTATTTTGGTAAAGAAGTGAAACAATAGCAAAAAATACAATATTATCAATTCACGGTATCCTGCGGGTGAGTTTACACAGCCGGACCAAACATGAAAATACATGTGATGGCATTGTCGTAAAGCTCAAACCTGATTGGTACAAATAGTAAACTTTTGTCTTGTGTACGTTTCCGTAAAAGGGGTGGTGAGTGAGCAACAAAGATAAACCATGTGTTTGGAATATCTTGTTTTGGGACGTGCAAGGACACTAATTAGTATTTTCTAAATCTGTTTGTCGCTCTTTAGCGTCATATTTGGTACTGTAGGTCGTATTTGCCAGCTACGTAGGAAGTTCGCGGCGGACGAGTAGGGTAAAAATGGATAGAACTGGTGCAGCTTCAGCTCTATCTGCAAGCAATTCGAACCCGGGACAAGATGGCGAAGCGATCACGTTACACAAACCAACTTTGCAGACCCTGGACGAAGATTCGCCTCTTTTGTTTGTTCCTGACGATGAGCATACCTCTGTCAGGAAATCTAGCATTGCAGGGAGCATACGAAAGCTGCGCAGCGCTACGCTGACTGTTTCGATCCTTGAGAAACCATCCGATGATCGCAATGCTTCAGCTTGGCTCGCTGGCTGGAATGTCACTAACCTTATTCAGGGAACTGGTATCCTTGGGGTACCATACGCTGTTATGATGGGAGGATGGGCTGCCGTGGCTATTATCGTCTTAGTGGCTGCAATCTGCTGCTACACTGGCAAGCTACTGGTCGATTGTTTGTACGTTGAGTCCAAACGTACTGGACAGCGTAAACGAGCCTACGTCAATTATCCCGAAGTAGGTGAAGCTGCTTGGCCGGGATGGGGCAACAGAATCGTAAGCGTTGTACAAGTATGCGAGATGTATGGCGGTGTGATTATGTACATTGTGCTACTCGCCACGGTGTTTAACGACATTTTGAATCAGTTGACGCCTTTGGATATCTACCAGTGGGCCGTTGTCTGTGCGTATGTTGCGTTACCTGGGATTTTCATTACCCGGGTATCAGTCATCGCCTGGATCAGCATGATCTCGGTGTTTGCACTCCTCAGCAGTATTGCCACAATAATAATTTACTGCATCACTGAATACCGTGACATGACCCTCTCAAACATCCCGCCATTTGACATTCAGAAGTTTCCTATTGGATTTGGAATCATCGTGTTCAGCTACTGTGCTCACGCAGTGTTTCCTGGTGTGGAAGGCAGCATGAGGGAACCAAAACAATTCCCAATGATGATGAATTCTGCGTTTGCTCTTGCTGCAGTGGTCAAGGTTCTACTTGGTTTGTTGGCTGTTCTGCGATTCGGCGCTGATACTGAACAAGTCATCACTGTCAACATGAGCATCAGCCCCGTCTTCAACATGGTTGCCACAGTCCTGGTCGTCACAAATGTCTTCCTGGCCTTCCCTATCTGCATGTTTGTTGTTTTAGAAACATGGGACACCAAGGTGCTACCTTTTTTCCCACATCTTAGCAAGGAAAGTGGCTACCATTGGTTCTGGATCCTGATCACACGGGTCATGCTTCTAACTTTTGCCTTATTCCTTGCAGTTATTGTTCCGCACTTTGCCCTGTTGATGGGTCTTGTCGGCAGCTTCACTGGTACATGCCTTTCCTTTGTGTTTCCCTGCGTTTTTCATCTGACTTTGAAGTGGAGGAAAACTCCTTGGTACAGCATTGTGGTCAAGATTGGGGTGATTGTATTTGGCTTAGTATGTGGTGGATCTGGTTTGTTCTTCTCAGGAAGAGAGCTTGGAAGAGCATTCTCTTTCCAGAACTAACATTACAGGACACTTCTTTGAATCTGATATTGATGAACTATTTCAATATGGACAATTTTTGTAATGGAACTGCTTTTGTAAGAATTATATTGTACATGATTGTGAGCATGTTTTGTATCAGTATGAGAAGAAGTGGTTAAAAAGATTTGCAAAAAAAAGAATTGCTGTAATAGAGTTTCGGTGCATCACATTTTATGCATTGCATTTTATACTGCAATTTATTCAATGGAGATTGTATTTTGTAATATACATCACACAGTTGTTGCTTATAATTATATATATCAAGGACCATTTTTTATTTACCTCACCTCGCCTATCCTCTTCGTGCCTCATGGCGCATAAGGCCCTCACAGAGTCCCTCCACTTATCTCGGTTAACTGCAACTGTCTTCCCTTCCTCCCACCATTGCCATCCTGCTTCTGCCCTTTCCTTTTCAACAGTTGTTCTCTTCCAGGTGGCTTTTGGTCTTCCTCTTCTTCTTTTTCCTTCTGGTGCCCAAGTTATTGCTATGTTGCAGTTGTTGTTTTGGTCCTGTCTCAGTATATGTTCAATCATCCTCCATCTACGCTGCTTCACCTCTTTACTCATGGGTTTCATGTCTGGTCTGTGTAGCCGCTCTTCAGTACTGACATTTTTCATTGGGGCAGATGTTGGGACTGGTGGGATTTGATAGGTGGTTCCTTTAATATATAAATTAGGAATTTTTTTACCAGGCCCCTTTTGTAGTCGTAATTACAGTGTATTTGCAGGGATGTCTCGACCTTGTCTTTGGAATGGATGAAAAACTAAAACTTATGAAGCTGTATTTGATAAAATTTCAACAAACATTTTAGTTTAGACTAAATTAAGTCCTGTTGGGGAATGAAATATCTTTAAACAATGGTCCCTCATGATTTGATGCGAAAAGAGATGATTATGACACAAGCATTAGATAAAATAGTAAAAATGTTTACTTGCACTGGTAATTTTTTCTCTTTGCTCTCAATGACTGTTAGGTGTTATAAATTTTTAGATTAAATAAGAGTGCCCATGGTCATTCCTACAATGAAGCTTTAAAGTGAGTTGACATTTCTGAAGTCCTAATATCAACATGCAGATTCTCTCCACTGTCTCTGTATGTGTTGCTAGATAACGTTGTGTTTGGTCAGTGTAGATTAGCCTGTTCACAGACCCTCTATATTCTCTTCAAAGTCCCTCGAGTGCGGGTGATAAAATATACACCGCAGGGGATTTATTGACCACCAGCGCAAGGGGGTAGTGTAGGGGGAAAAATAAAACAACGTCCGTGTACAGACTAAGTGCAGATCAAAGGTCACACCTCCCCAGGGGCCCAGAGGCAGTTAGTCAGTTTGAGGGAAGAAGCGCAAACCAACTGACTGCTCCTGGGTCTCAAAAGTCAGAGGATGGAGATCACATGGAGTAGAAGAGTTATGTTTTATCTTGATTCTAGTTTAGTTCACATGACATGGCTGTACAGCTGGGTGAATGTCACCAGTGGTAGTTTCATGCAATTTTGTAGCCTGAGTAGCCAACATTTCCGTGTGGTTTTGGAGCAAAGAAAGACCAAGGAATGATGGGGAGTGGGATTTTCTGTTTCAGCCACGTGAAAAATGGGAGGAGAGCCATTTTTTGCAGTGGGGAAGGGGGGTAGGGGGGTTGACTCTCATTCCTTGTTCTTTGCTCCGAAACCACATGGAAACGCTTGCTACGCAGGCTAGCAATTGTGCTCAGTTTTGTTGAATGGTGTCAACACTGCTTGTCTGGGTAGGGATGATTGTTGCCCAAAGGTGACATGGTTGGAAGCTTTTGGAATAATTAGGTCATAAAATTTTAGGTCCTGAGCTAATTTTATTTTATTCTAAAAAAAAAAAAAAAATTTTCTTGAGCCCATGGTTGATTTTGTTCAGTGGTCAATACTTTTCAAATTGAAGTTGTTAGTACTGGTTCTCTAAGCAATTATTATAGGGTGCGATCATGGTGAAATGAATAAGTGATCACAGATGCAGAATTTTTTGGTAAATGATCACAACAAAAAGCACCATGTGAAAACCTTCCCTCCCCTTTGGGACCCTTTTGGAGAGCATGTTTTTGTGAAGAGTCCTTCAATTATATTGCTTCATGCGAACTAACCATAAAGGGGTGGAGGGACGGTCCTCCAGACCCTTACATAAGAAGGGGGCTGGTCTCCCAAAAATTTAGTTCTTGGCCCTTCCAGCCACATTTCGCTACAAAAATTAGGGCCCGGGCCCCTCTCCTGGATCCACCACTGTCTATTCCCTGTGAAAGGTCACATTCATTAATGAAAAAAAAAAGCCCAAAGAAATTGAGCATTTTAAGAAGCTTGCATTCAGTTAGTGATCCTCTCCTCCTTGTTTTCCAAATTTATTACATTTTTACAACTTGATAACATGAGCGTGACATTCAGTGCAGTGTTGCGTTACGACGACAACGGAAAGATCCCGGGGGAAAGATACAGTCAACAACCAGGGGAGTCCAATCTTCCTTCAGTGGACAACCTCGGCAGAAATGAAGCTGGCCGTTTACGGCAAAGGTTTTTGTCAGCGTGGAGTTCAAACGGGATTTGGTTCGGCGGCCGAGGGTTTGACTTTTGAGAAAGGTAAACAGGGCACTTGAACGACGAATGTGTAAATAATATAAGAAGTTTTCTGATTGGTTTATTTCCTTTGTATCCATTGTCTCATGGGACAACAAAAACGTGCAAAACGACAAAACCAGTTATGTTGTACTTTGGGTACAAATAAACATTTGCATTTGAACATCCGAATCTCGGAGTGCATATTGACATTTGACCACAATTTC